GAAGGACGCAGGGGCTGGCAGAAGGCATGGCTGAGTCTCTCACGGCCCAGCAGCCCTCACCCCTCTGATCACGAGAACGAGGCTGCAGGGGAGGAACATGGTTTCCTCCTGAGCCTCCACTGGGAGGTGAGGAGAAAGTCTGCAAGTAGGAGACGGTTGCAGAGGAGGCGGAAATGCAAAGGGAGACAGGTCCAAGGGTGCAGTTCTGAGCCCTGAGGCCGGTGAGGAATGTGTGGCCCCTCCTCACGCAGCACAGCACAGCCCCACGGACACAGGGCTCGCCCTGCCCTTACCTTGGAGAAATGCTGTGGCACTAAGTCTGGCCAATGTTAAGTCCTAAATGCCTCACATGTCTGTGGCTCCTGCCTCTGAGCCCGGGTTTGACCTGTGCCCTGCCTTGTGCTCACTGGACCAGCTGGGCCTCTGCTTCGGCAACTGTAAAATCAGGGCAAGGAGAGTGTGTCCCTCACAGGGTGGTGCTGAGGGTTGAGCCTAGTGCTTGTGAAGCATCTAGAAGGGCCTCGTGCAGCAGGACTAAGGCAGGAGTTGCCGTGCTGAGAGGGGACTCCTCGGGGCCCCGCCCTGAGCATCCCACCTGCCAGCTCAGGCTGCTCCCTACCAGGGCCTCCGTGCCCAGGCAGCAAGTTGCACCTCGCTGCCTGCTCAAAGGCCAGCTGCCTGGATGATGGTTTTAAGCCCTTAGAATGGCATTCAAGGCCCCCCCCCCCCTCCTCTTCATGTCCACATGCCGCCAGGCAGGGTGCATGCCTGTCATTCTCTGGCCACTCTGCGCTTCATGCCTGTGACTCCTGTCCAGATCCTACACTGCAGTGGGATTCCTGCCGTCAGTGGTGAGCCCCTGGGGTGGCTGAGGAGGACATGGGAGCACCTCCTGGGCCGGCAAGTCACACACTGTGTATCTCATTGATCCCACGACCACCCTGTGAGACAAGTCCTCTTTTTGCCTCATGTTACCAGGAGGAAACAGAAGCTCAAGTGATCCTCAAGGTGAAACATGAGTAGGAAGCTGGGATTAAGTCCAGATGTGGACGTCCCCAAAGTCCCTATGGTTCCAAAGCTCGTGTCACTTTAGGGGAAAAAGGTCTTCGAGAGGGGGCGGTCATGAGAGGCTGTGGACATGGCTCCCTCGGTAGAGAACATGGACAAGGCTCCCTGGGTGGGGAACATGGACACGGCTCCCTCCCTGGGTGGGGAACATGGACACGGCTCCCTCCCTGGGTGGGGAACATGGACACGGCTCCCTCCCTGGGTGGGGAACATGGACACGGCTCCCTCCCTGGGTGGGGAACATGGACACGGCTCCCTCCCTGGGTGGGGAACATATACACGGCTCCCTCCCTCGGTGGGGAACATATACACGGCTCCCTCCCTGGGTGGGGAACATGGACACGGCTCCCTCCCTCGGTGGGGAACATGGACACGGCTCCCTCCCTGGGTGGGGAACATGGACACGGCTCCCTCCCTCGGTGGGGAACATGGACACGGCTCCCTCCCTGGGTGGGGAACATGGACAAGGCTCCCTCCCTGGGTGGGGAACATGGACACGGCTCCCTCCCTCGGTGGGGAACATGGTGGGTTTGTGAGGTGTCGCTCTAGCTCAGCTAGAACACGTTTCCAGAACTAACAAATTGGCTTGGTCTCAAGAGAAGTTGTCAGAGTGGCAAGGGGAAGGGAGTGGCCGTCACACTCACGCTGCGCAGGTTGGTGCAGACCTGCAGGCTCACCCTCCTGGGCGGGGAGAGACAGCCCAGCTGCACCTGCCCCATCAGCTTCTCCTCTCCTGGGCTCAACCTGGGGCGCTCTGTGGTGACACACCCTGGAAGGTGGAGGCCAGGGGACGAGGGGGGTGTGGGTTGCAGACCATCTCCATGGATTCCAGCTCTTTCTCCTGGGCTCCCACTTCAAGTCTGCCTTCCCTTCCCTGCCACTCAAGCCCGGGGGATGGACTTGGGAAGGCTGCTCACCCAGCTCCCAGGCACTCAAGGTCTCACCCTCCAGTCCTGGTATGTCATCTCAGGTTCTAATCCCAGCCAACCCTCATGGGCATGGAGAATGAGTTCATGGGTGTTGGATTAAACGAATAAACAAGCATTTGAATAAATTAATATTTTGGTTGCTTTAGGCTTTAAATTTCAGAAGTAAAACCAGGGGAACTCATTTTTTTTTACCTTCACTAAAGGATAAATTAATGAGTATTAAAACAGGTTCTCCCAAAGGGCCCCTATGTTCACAACTTTAAAAAATAAAAAATGGTGCCCTGGCTGGTTTGGCTCAGAGGATAGAGTGTCGGATAGAGTGTTGACCTGTGGACTGAAGGGTCCCGAGTTCGATTCTGGTCAAGTCATGTACCTCGGTTGCAGGCTCAATTCACTCCCTGGCCCTGGTGAGGGAGCATGTGGGAGGCAATCAATTGATATGTATATTTCACATCAATGTTCCTCTCCCCCTGCTTTTCATTCTCTCTAAAAATCCATAGAAAAATATCCTCAGGTGAAGATTAACAACAAAAAATAAATAATAAAACAAAAATAAAATAAAAAGTGGTTTGAGCATTGGCCTGAGCACCAAAGGGTCATGGGTTTGATTCCCAGTCAAGGACACGTACTTGGGTTGTAGGTTCCATCCTTGACCCCAGTCAGGGTATGTGCAGGAGGCAACCAATTGATGTGTCTCTCTCACATCGATGTTTCCCTTTCTCTACCCTCCTCCCTCTTTCCCTTCCATTCTCTCTCTGAAAAGCAATGGAAAAAGTATCCTTGAGTGAGGATAAATAAATAAATAACATAATGTAATGGCTCACAGTGTGGTGATTAAATTACAACTGACATTGAATTAATGGTGAAGGGGCTGTGACTTTTTGTGTGATTTTGTGACTCTGCGAGTATTGCTACTTGTACACTCCCCCTGGGAGGCAGTGATGAGGCACAGGCAATCCCAACAGGAACTAGACGGACCTCCATCAGAACTTCTGCCTCACGGGAACGCCCTGGTGGTGGGCCACTGAGGAATGTACTGGCTGCGCAGCAACCGATCCTATCGGGAAATCTAAGCTAATATTATGTCCAACCGAAAAGGCAAGCCAAGTAAACAAAATCAGGTGCAAAACTGCAGTTTGAAATCAATATCTGGGTAGTCAAGGGGTTCCTCAAGGTGATGGAGAAATTCGAAGGTGAATTCCCTATCCTGTACATCTGTCTCATTTGCTCTTCCAAACATCAGACAACCAAGTGGAGCAGTCACCACCCCCACCCCTTACATGAATCTAGCTTTTGAATTCTTTCCAATGAGTCATCCTTTAGCACTGGGGGCCAGGAATTACTCTTTTCCTTGGCAGCCATGATGAACAAAGTGTCTGCCCCTGGGGTGGAGAGCATGCCTCGGGGAGGCAGCTGGACATGCAGCCGTTTTGCAAAGATAGGGACTTTGGGGTCAGGCCTGGCCCTAAATCCTGCCACTGCTGCCAGCTGCTTGACCTGGAGCAAGTGACGCACCCTGTCGGAGCCAGCGCTGCCCTCCACAGAGCGCAGAGTGGAGAGGGACCCTGCTCAGAGCCGTGTCTGTGGAGGCCCAGCGCAGGCCAGGCTGGTCATTCTGTTTTACTTTGCTTTCATTCCAACAGTTACATAACTGCCCTCTCCATGTTTCAAAACAAAGTAATTTTGTTCACATTCATCTGATCTTTCCAAGTCTAGCTCTTCAAGGTCTTTTTATATGTTTCAGACCTTTATCCAGCTACAGACCCCTCACTCCAACACCAAGCCTCCTGAAAGAACACAGAGGAAAAGGTGATTATTCATGCCAGAATACAACAGAAAAGACATGTAAAATATATAAAAATCTTAATTTGTTTTAATACAATAGTCTAGAAAAATCTGCAAATCTGTTTTGAAACCGCTGTCTTTCTTATTTAAAAAATTCTAGCAATTTTTCTATTTCATTTTCCTTCACATTTTTACAATCACTTCCGGGTCTTGTGAAATTTCCAGGCTGCACACTGGCTCAGAGCAAACCGGTTTGGCTAGTGACAGAGTTTTGGCAAAGCTCGCCGCCCCTCCCCAGCATCTGTTTCCCCCCAGAGTCCTCCAAGGATATGAGCCTGGGGAGGCCGGCAGTCAGGAACAGCTAGGTAAGGGCTCAGGGCCACTTGGCCTTTTCTCCAAGGGTAATCCTAACGTTTGGGCAGATGCCTGGCTTCAGCCGAGAGCCTCGTTCAAGAACATTATGATCTCAACTCCTGCTGGCTTCACGCTAGGACCTTAACTCCAGACACCCCCCGGGCAGCAGTCGGGCAAGGCACATAGTTCCTGACATGCCCAGCCGTGGGCAAACTACGGCCCGCGGGCCAGATCCGTCCCGTTTGAAATGAATAAAACTAAAAAAAAAAAAAAAAAAAAAAAAAAGACCGTACCCTTTTATGTAATGATGCTTACTTTGAATTTATATTAGTTCACACAAACACTCCATCCATGCTTTTGTTCCGGCCCTCCGGTCCAGTTTAAGAACCCATTGTGGCCCTCGAGTCAAAAAGTTTGCCCACCCCCGTGCTAGACGGTCCCTAGTTCTCAGCCTTGAGGATGAGAGAGGGAAGAGCAGCAGTTTGGCTTCAGGCCACTGTAGGTTTGTCTTCCAGGTCTAGCCCATGCTGTCTGGGATCGTTAAGCTGACCAGAGCCTCAGTTTCCTCAAATATAAGGTGGGAATGACTCTGGCTGTCGTGAGGCAGCAATAATGTGATGTGTATGTGCAGTGCCTGGATGCGGCGCTCGGTTAATGGTAGTTAGCACCATGGACAGGTGGCGCGGACAGTGCAGTGCCCAGGATGACGGTGCGGGGCCTCCAGAGCCCACCCCACCAGGAGGCCGCCCGTGCTCCCCTGGGGCTTTCCTGTTTAAGGTGCTGAGGAGACACAGACACAGGCCACCAAACCAACCATGGAGCATGCAGGACCTTTTTATTTAGTCAGCCTTTATTTTAAATGTGTGCTTTTGAAATAGTTTATTAAATATGACCTTTCAAAATTCAATTCTCACAATATTTACAGTGAATTTTGTGCAAGCATATATTGACTGTGAGCTTCTGGCTCCTCTTTCACATTAATAATTCACAAATCTGTATTGCAACAAAGCCCCAGCTACTCCACTTATTGTCTCTTAAGCCCAGTTTTGAGAGGTACCAAACTAGGACAAGGGGTTGCTAGGTAAGAGCTAATTCAAACCCAGAGAAAATAAAATGTTTTACTTATCAAAAAGGATTAAACCAAGGCCTTTATTTGCAACTGAAAACATGTGTCCCATGATGTTGTGGGACAGTATTTAAGCAACCAAGTAAATTTCCAATGGTTATTGTGCCTTTGCTTTTAAAAATATATTTACACTCATCTCTTCTAATCAAATAAGCAAAACCAGAAAAGACAAACTCTAATAGACTTCAGACTGTCTGGGAATGTTATACACGTAATTAGACTGAAGAATGAAGGGCATCAGATGGGCTGCTGGCTGACCCTCCCACGCCAGCATTGGCCAGAGCTGCTGCCAGAAGGCCCCCCAGGGCCCACACCATCCGCCTCAGGGTTCCACGCTGCACACAGAACAGGAACCTGTGTCCCAGCCAAGGAGGGTGAAACCCTGCCAGGTACTTCTTCAGATGCCAAGTCTACAAAGGGCATGAGCCTGGAGAGGGATGTATCCCTCTCTGGGTGGAGAAACATCTGGTTGAAGAACACAACACCCAATATTGTAAGAAGTAAAGGTTCCTACAGAAAATAGTAACTCGTGATTTGGAAACTGCAAGAGAGTACTTGGGACCAACATTTTACACTTTTTCTACCTTTTCACTGAATATCTGAATATTTTAATAGGAAATTAAGAGTGACAGCTTATTAGAAAATAAACAGAACAATTTTTTAGTCATTTGACACTTTTTTATACATTAATCATCTGCACTCCCAATGACAATGCTCCTTTATTTATAAAAGTGGTTTAAAGAGCTGTGTGACCCTCTGGACTCATGGCTTTGTACACTCTAGGCATCCTAATGCAATGATTCCTGCTCTGAAACACTTTCACCACAAAACATTTTCCCCATGATAATTATGAATGAAATATTCCAAACGTTCATGAACGCCATGGAAGTCAGTGTGAAACATCCATGACTATAGCTAGAACTGTGGTTTTGAATCACCGGTTCTGAGTTTTCAAGTGAGCAGGTCATACCACCCAGGTCTGCTATGCCCCTGTGCCCTTGGAAATCCTTGGTTCTGAGCTATCCCTACTGCAGGTGGAGTGTGTGTTGTGGGGGGGGGGGGGGGGGTGGAGGGCGGGAGGAGGGGTGCCAGGAGTCAGGAGTGCTGAGGACATCCCTTGTGATGGAATGTGGGACAGTGAGCAGAAAGGAGGGCTGAGCAGGGGGGTGGGCATCCGATTTCCTAGGAAGTCAGGAACCACCAATTAGAGTTAAAAGACATGGGCAGGGAACAACAATATGTAGTGACTGAAAACATGGATCTTATTTTCTCAGACCTGTCAGTGCCTTAAGGAATTAGCCCAAGTGCAGGTAAGTCAAACACTCTTGTGCCTTCTGCCCAGGCCCAGCTCCCCTGAGAATTCCACCCTCTTTGAGGATTCAGTGACCCATCACTTGGGCTCCTCCTTAGGGGTTCATAGGGACTGAGAGCTCAGGGCTGCTTTTCATCAACAAAAAATTACAATTGCTTTTATTAATGGCTCTGATTTCACATAATCACAGACTTGATTAAACTGAATATATAGTTCTAGGTTAGTTTCTTTTCATTCAAATGTTTATATTCCATCTACACTGAACAATAAATTGAGAAAAATAGGCACCTCTCATGAGACGGTGACTAGCCAGGAACTGGGTGAGGCTTCAAGGGGCCGTTTTCTTCAAGTCGCGAATCTGTTTAATCAAGTAGTTCTTCTCATCAGTGAACTGCTCATCGTCCGTCCTTTCTTTTTGGAAGCTGCTCAGAAACTCAATGAGTTTGGGTTGATTTTTTAACAGAATCTCCACAATAGGCTGTGTTTTGTGAGGACTGGCCACAAATACCTGAAACATAAAGTAACAAATATGGAGATAAGCAATGCACGCCAGGGACAGCATGGATCCCACTTGAACATGTGGCACCTGTGTTAGTATAACAGAGAAAGCCTGGGTCATACTTCCTTTATTAAGGAAAATCAGTAATTCCCCATTCATACCCATTTCCCATACATTACATAAAACTATATTTGATATATTTAAAATTATATGCTATAATTATATATTTAAGTTATAATTAAATATATAATTACATATCAGCAATAATATATTCAACATGTATTTAAGACAATATATCCAATATATAATATATTTAATATACTTAATATGTAATATACTCATCTGGCTTAAAATTTAAAAAGGGCAAAGGTGTAAAGTCTTCCTCTCACCTTCCCTCTCCCAGAGGTCACCACTGTTTTCTTGTGTATGTGGACATTTATAATTTACAACTGCCCAGGCCCTTTCTCCCAGAGATTCTAGCTCAGCAGATCTGGGCTGCAGGTCTGGCATTCTGTATTTTTATAAAGTTCCACAAAGAGTCTTATATGTACTCCTGGTTGAAACTGTGATCCTGGACAAATAATTTAGGTATACTATAAAAGGCAGCAAAAACTATAATAGTAAGACACAATCACTCAAAACTATAATATTAATTGGTACAATATTTTGCAATGGACATACTTCCTTGTTAGAGGCTACATATATGACTACATGACCAGAATACCCATAAAGGTATCAACTCCTCTATAGTTCTCTGGGCTCTCTCATGTTCTCTCACACTTAAAAATGTAGTGTTTCACCACCAGCCCCTCAGCCCCTGCCTCCACATCCTGTACCTCCAACAGTGCACTCTACTCTCAACACGCTAGGAATAGGATTGCTATGACAGTGGGGACCACAAGGTTGAGCCCTAAAGGATCCCCCAACCCAGCAGTTATGGGGAGGGAGAAAACTACACAAAGATTTTATGAACCACCCGGCCAGTATGGCTCAGTGGTTGAGCATCAACCTATGAACCAGGAGGTCATGGTTCAATTCCAGGTCAGGACACATGTCTGGGTTGCGAGCTCGATCCTCAGGGTAGGGCATGCAGGAGGCCGCTGATCAATGATTCTCTCTCATCACTGATGTTTCTATCTCTCCCTCTCCCTTCCTCTCTGAAATCAATAAAAATATAAATCTTTTAAAAAGATAAGAACCAATGCGGTTCTGAAAGACTGCAGAGATTCAAAGGAGGGGGAGATTACATTAGATTTCTGCGTTTGGAACAGGAAAGGCTCATGGTGTAGGTCAGCGGTCGCCAACCTCTCAGACCTCATGGACCACCAGTGGTCCGCGGATCACCGGTTGGCAACTGCTGGTGTAGGTGACATGAGAGCTAGTCTATGAATCATATTTTCTATTTATTCTTTGGTAATTTTCCCATTTCATCTAGGTTATCTAATTTTTTGATGTACAATTATTCATATTATTCTTTTATACTATTTTTAAAAATTCTATAAGGAGATTGAATCAGTAATCAAAACCCTCCTGATAAAGAAAGCCTAGGACCAGGCAATTTTACTGGTAAATTCTACAAAATTTTAAAGAATTAACACTAATTCCTTTAAAAATTCTCCAAAAAATAAAACAGAAGGGAATACTTCTTAACTCATTCTATGAGGCCAGCAATACTCTGATACCAAAACCAGATAAAGATATCACAAGAAAACAACAGACCAATATCCTTTATGAATAAAGATGCAAAAACCCTCAACAAAATACAAGCAAATCAAGTCTATCATCATATGAAAAAGGATGATATGCCATGGCCAACTAGAATTTATTCCAGAAACCCAAGGTTGGCTTAACATAATAAAATCAATGTAATATACCACATGTACTAGGTTGAACTAAAAAAGGGCAAAGGTGAAAAGTCCCCTCAAAAGATGAATGTTCAAGTCCCAACCCTCAGTATCTGTGAATGTGACCTTATTTGGAAATAGGGATGTAATCAAATCAAGATGAGGTCACAGTGGATTAGGGTGGCCCCTAACCCGATAACTTTTAAGAAGAGGGAAATTTGGACACAGAGACACAGGGATGTAGAGAGAAAATGCCATGTGAAAAAAACACAGAGATTGGAGTTACACAATAAGCCAAAGAATACCAAGGACTGCTGGGAACTAGCAGAAGTAGGAGACAGGCATAGCATGCATGTTCCCTGAGCCTCCCAAAGGAAGCAACTCTGCTGATCCTTGATGTTAGACTGTGGTCTCCAGAACTGAGAGAAAATAACTTTCTGCTGCTTTAAGCCACTCAGCCTATGGTATTTTGTTACTATAGCTCTAGGAATCGAATATATCACATTAATACAATGAAAGAAACCGCATGATCATTTCACTTGATATAAAAAAGTATTCAACAAAATCCAACATCTATTCATTAAAACAACCTAAAACTTTCAACATGGGACAACTGGATATCCACACATCAAACAATGAAGTTGGGCCCTTACCTCACACCATAAGTAAAAAGTAACTCAAAATCAATCAAAGACCTAAATATGAGTTAATAAAATTTTTAGAGGAAAATATAGGGGTACAACTTTATGACCTTGGATTTGGCAATGTTTTTTAGCTATGACCAAAAGCAAGAGCAACAAAAGAAAAAATAAACTGAACATCAAAATTTAAAAATTTGTGTATCACAGGGCGCTATCAAGAGCATAGAATGGGAGAAGATACCGGCAAATCCTTTCTAATAAAAGAGAAACATGGTAATTAGCGTACATCCGCTACCTTCCCATTGGCTAATCAGGGAGATATGCAAATTAACTGCCAGCCAAGATGGCGGCCGGCAGCCAGGCAGCTTGAAGCTAACATGAGGCTTGCTTGCTTCAGTGATGGAGGAAACCAACGTTCCCCGCCTGCCTTGCCGGCCTCTGAGCTTGCAGTTTGAAACATTGTTACAAATATAGAAGCTAAAAAAAACCCCAGAAACCTGCTTTCAGCCCGCCGGGATCTCAGAGCTGGAGTTGATACAGTGTTTCGATTATAGAACCCAAACAAACCTGATACCTGCTTTCAGCAACAGAGGCCTCAGAGCTGGAGCCAGAGCTAAAGCTGGCCCAGAATTAAAAAAAAGAAAGAAAAAAAGGAGCAGTTGGGAGCTTCAGTCACCCACCAGCCTGAAAACAGACCTCAGCCCCTCACCCAGACTGGCCAGGCACCCCAGTGGGGACCCCCACCCTGATCCAGGACACCCTTCAGGGCAAACCAGCCGGCACCCACCCGTGCACCAGGCCCCTATCCTATATAGTAAAAGGGTAATATGCCTCCCAACACCGGGATCAGCGGAGCTGCGAGGCCTCCCAGCACCGGGATCAGCGGAGCTGAGAGGCCTCCCGGCACCGGGATCAGTGTGACAGGGGACAGCGCCAAACCCCCTGATCGCCCTGCAGCTCAGTGTGTGACAGGGGGTGGGGCCACAACCTCCCTATCCTCCCTGCTCTGTCCGTGACAGGGGAAGGCGCCCCAACCCCCTGATCAGCCCTGCTCTGTGCCTGATAGGGGGGAGCTCCCCAACCTCCTGATTGCCCTGCGGCTCTGTGTGTGACAGGGTGTGGCACCCCAATCCCCTGATCGGCCCTGCTCTGTGTGTGACAGGGTGCGGCGCCCCAACGCCCTCCCCCCCCATGGGCCCTGCTCTGTGTGTGACGGGGTAGAGCCATCACCTCCCCATCGGCCCTGCCCTGAGTGTGAGAGTGGCGGCGCCCCAACCCCCTGATCGGCCCTGCTCTGTGGGTGATAGAGGGTGGCACCCCAACCCCCTGATCCGCCCTGCTCTGTGCATGACAGGGGGGAGCTCCCCAACCCCCTGATGGGCCCTGCTCTGTGTGTGACAGGGTACGGAGCCCCAACCCCCTGATGGGCCCTGCTCTGTGCATGACAGGGGGTGGCGCCGCAACCTCCCCATCAACCCTGCCTTGAGTGTGACAGGGGGCGGTGCCCCAACCCCCCCAATCAGCCCTACCCTGAGCGTGTCTGGGGGTGGCATCGCAACCTCCTGATCCGCCCTGCTCTGTGCATGACAGGGGGCGGCGCCCCAACTCCCCAATCGGCCCTGCTCTGAGCCCGACCAGGGGCTGCACCTAGGGATTGGGCCTGCCCTCTGCCACCCGGGAGCAGGCCTAAGCCAGCAGGTCGTTATCTCCCGAGGGGTCCCAGACTGCGAGAGGGCACAGGCCGGGTCGAGGGACCCCTACCTCCCCTCCCGAGTGCACAAATTTTTGTGCACGGGGCCTCTAGTCATATTTAAGTGTCTAGCATCCGAAATACAATAAAGAACTCTTATAAGTCAACAACAAAAATGCAAACAAGCACTGAGGCTGATTTGGCTCAGTAGGTAGAGCGTTGGCCCACAGACTGAAGGGTCCCAGGTTTGATTCCAGTCAAGGGCACATACCCGGTTATAAGCTCTATCCCAGGCCACAGTTGGGGCATGTGTGGGAGGCAACCAATCGATGCGTCTCTCTCACATCAATGTTTCTCTCTCTCTGTCTCTTCCCCTCTCTCTAAAAATTAATGGAAAAATATCCTCAGGTGAGAATTAACAACAACAACAAAAAACAAGCCTTTTTACAAAGGGGCACAGGACTTGAATAGACACTTCTCTCCAAAGAAGATATACAAATGGCCAATAAGCACATGAAAAGGTGTTCATCATCATTAGTCACTAGTGAAATGCAAATCAAAACCACAGATGTCACTTCACACCCACTAGGCCAGCTACAGTTTTTAAGACTGACAATAACAAGTGTTGGTGAGGAAGGGGAGAAACCGGAGCCCTGAACATTATTGGTGGGAATGTAAATGGTGTAGCCTCTGTGTGAATTACCATAACACTGAGCAATTACATTCCTGAGTATATACCCGAAGAATTGAAAACATTTGTTCAAACAAAAACTTGGACAAGAATGTTCACAGCAGCACTATTCACAATAGCCCAAAGTCCATCAACTAAAGAAT